GACACTGAATAAAAAGCTGTCATTCATATTTCATATTAAAATCACTTTTAGGTAGAAGACAAATGTGATTTAGTTTTCTGAACAAGGAACATTTACTTGTTTGAGGGTGAAAAGAGTAATTATAAGACACCTTATCACAACAAAAACAATTCATATATATTTCATCACCCCTTTGAATTAGCCATGCAGCCTTATTTCTAAAAAAATAGCACTATAGGGAGAGAGAGAAAAGGAAAAGGAAAAGGAAAAGGAAAAGGAAAAGGAAAAGGAAAACTAGTATGAGTAACATTTCACAGACAAATTAATTTGAAATAAAATGAAATTTTAATTAAGATCTTACAAAACAAGTGGAAGATTTGTCTCAGTAAAAAGCGAGGCAGAGACTTGCATTAATCATAATCTTCTAACTACTCTCAAGCCAGGGACATTACTTCAAATACTGACATTAGTGATTCCAATTTTTGAGTCAGGAGATCATTCTTAACAGATTAAACTATTTCTTATTGTTTATTCCTATGTATCACAAGACCAAAGCAGGAGTGAAGGGGAATACAGACACTGAATAAAAAGCTGTCATTCATATTTCATATTAAAATCACTTTTAGGTAGAAGACAAATGTGATTTAGTTTTCTGAACAAGGAACATTTACTTGTTTGAGGGTGAAAAGAGTAATTATAAGACACCTTATCACAACAAAAACAATTCATATATATTTCATCACCCCTTTGAATTAGCCATGCAGCCTTATTTCTAAAAAAAAAGAAAAAGAAAAAGAAAAGGAAAAGGAAAAGGAAAAGGAAAAGGAAAAGGAAAAGGAAAAGGAAAAGGAAAAGGAGAGAGAAGAGGAAAAGAGAAAGGAGAGAGAAGAGGAAAGGGAGAGAGAAAAGAGAAAGAATGCATGAAAGATAAATAAATAAATAGATAAATAGGAAGAATTAAAAAAAAAAAAAGAGGAGTGGGGGAATCTCTGTGATTTTATGTTATTTGTTAAAGAGATCTCTGTAGTCCAGCTGAGTCAATATGAGAACAGGACTTGTTTACAATAAAGCTTTGAGGCTATTATATGTTCAAATCATCACTGAAAGATTATTTCAATTACGGTATATTGCATGGCTAATAACAAATTATCATCTATTTGTTACACCTGATCATGAAAGTATGGCTAGGGAGAAGTGGTGGAAGAAGAAAGGTGTGCTTTCATGGTTGTGTCTCAGATTCATAAGAAAACTTATATTAGTTTTATATTCAGGAGAAATAACAATGTTCAAAAATAATGTCCAAATGAAACAATTTGAAAGAGAACCCATATTTTGAAGTTATTACACAAGAAGTTAATTCTAAGTTTTAAAAGTAAGAGCATGATTTCTAAAATAACCAAGATGTATGAGTTAAAAGTGATGTCTGAAATAGTCTCTCAGTCCTAAGTATAATGAAAGAACATTATTTTCAATTCAGAAGAACTGGAGCTGGCTTTTGACTATAACCAAAAGACAGCAAAGTGTTATTCAGCAGTGTTTTCCTCAAGTTCTTCAGTCTTGTTTTGTTTTCTCTGAAAAACGCACACAAGAATGAGATGCACATGCAAAATATATTATTTCATGTGCAGTGGAAACATCCAATTACCTAACTTAAAATTTCTCGTGTTTTACTAGTTCCTTTACTGAATATAGTCCATCTTGATTGCTTAATTGACCTAGAGAACGCTATACTGGATAATCTTGGTATTATAAAATATATAATATTAGTTAATTGATTATAATAAAAACAAAGGGAAATGGGAAGGCTGCCTGCCTGCCCTATCTTGGGCTTTTTTGGTGCAACAGAGTTTATATTCCCCCTGTGTTTTTCCACTTTCCTTATATGAAATGAACAGCTGTAATTGAAAAGCAAGAAGCTCCATGGTTTATAGAAATAGGTGTTGTTAAGAGCCTTAGCCATCTAATTTTCTTCCTATTGCAGGGCAGACTTCCTATTGTCTGTCCTTTAGAGCTAATTTCTTTTCTGATCAAAAGGCCCACATCATTGAAAAGGTAGTAATGACTATTCATTTGGTTGAAACCTCCATTCTGCAGCCTGCAAACCTTTATTTAGAAACTGCTATTTCTTTCTAAAAGGAAAACCTCATTTGTGTCCTCTATAATGTCAATTAAAGGAGAATATATTTTAATTATTTATCCTGGAGAGAAACCTTTCAGGATCTCAATTTGCTGTGCCAGTGATACAGGCTGTAGTTTGAAACAATATGTGCCTTCAAAATTGTATGTCAGAGAGTAGGAATAAGGTGTGTTTTGATTTTAATTTGCCACTAATGAGTAGTTTATTTGCAGCTAATTAGCAAGTTAGAGTTTTACAATTAATGTCTGATTTCTAATCTAACTCATAAAAAGGAGCCTAGACGTCATTACCAGCAAATAAGGTGGGTTACTGGATCTGTATAGAAAACATTGTAGGAAAGATTCACGAAGTTTTAAATGGGCAAAACAGAGATGATTTGGTTTGTTTTTTTCTGAAGAAGGAGTGCAGCGACGTCTCAGTTGTCAC